CTGGTGTGGATATTCTCTAACCACAGGTCATTTTATTTATTTATTTATTTTTTTGTGGGAGGACAGAAATTCTAATCTCTACTGAAATTATGAACAGAGGCTGTGCCTTTATTTGAATACAGGTGCTCCAGTGTGTCTTTTTGGCAGAATTGAATACAGTTTTACAGAGCTTTTCATGTGATGTTGGCTCTCCATCTCCGCCTCGGGCTCCTCCACCACCTGCTCCGCCACCGTAAGCTGGGATCAACCAGATAGATATGATCTTAAATTTAATACAATATTTAACTGGAAGCCAGTTGTCAAAGAACAGGAAAAATTTGCTCTATCGAAGATGTTTGTGTAATGAACCTGGCTGGAAATTCTGGACCATCTGAAGTTTATGAAGAACCTTTAGTGAACAGAGGCTGTGCCTTTATTTGAATACAGGTGCTCCAGTGTGTCTTTTTGGCAGAATTGAATACAGTTTTACCAAGCTTTTCATGGCAGGGCCCCCTTTCAGCCACTGCAGTGGGACAGATTTGTTTCAGTGTGATTGGATTTCTGTAGATTAACAGAAGTAATAAATGCCATCAGATAAGGTTGATAGGGCAACACCAGATTCCTCTTACAAGACAGGAACTGAGGTGTTGATACCAGGCTTTGTGCAGGAGAGAACTGGTTCGCAGGATTTCACCCTGTCACTGAAGCCTTTAAAATAATAATAAGCTTAGAAAATGTGTTTTAAGTTTTAAAAATTAAAAGAAAATAGTTATTACGAATGTGTTGTGTTAAAGAGCTCCAAAGGACGAGGAGCAGTACAACTTAAAAGCCCTAGACCAGTGATGGGCAAACTTAGCCCTTCCAGGCCACTTTCCGGCAGAGATTTGATCCAACCCTGATACAACTCACCTGCCTGTAGCCTTCTAGTAGTCTTAAAGACAATGATTAGCTGGTTCAGGTGTGTTTGATTAGGGTTGGAGCTACCCTCTGAAGGAAATTGGCCTGGAAGGGCCAAATTTGCCCACCCCTGCCCTAGACCAATAGTCAAATGTATCGAGGGTGTAAAAAACAAAGAACGCGACAGTAGAAGATCTAAAGGAATCAGATGAATAAACAAGATCACAAAGATATGACGGTGCTAAGTTATGAAGAGACTTGTAAGTGAAATGTAAAATCTTAAATTTAATACAATATTTAACTGGAAGCCAGTTGTCAAAGAACAGGAAAAATGTGCTCTATCGAAGATGTTTGTGTAATGAACCTGGCTGGAAATTCTGGACCATCTGAAGTTTATGAAGAACCTTTAGTGAAGCAATACTGAGAAGTAAATTACAATAATACATTTGAGATAACTAAGACTTGTACAAGAATAGAAGCACTATTAGCCATAAGAGATGAAGATAATTAATGATTAATGCAAATTTTAAAACTGTCAGGATCATGGACCTGTTTTGTTATGTTTTGCCCCTGTTTCTGTTCCTGTGTTCCCTTATTTGGTCATGTTCCTGTCCTTGTTTAGTTAATTAGTCATTCTGTGCACCTGTGTTTGGTAATTGTCCTGTGTTTAAAAGTTCTTGTCTGTGCATTTCTCCTCTGTCGTGTCTACTTGTTGGATGTTGTGTTTCCCGTGTTCCTGTTGTGGATTATCCCCTGTGATTCCTGGATTAAAGACTTTTGCTTGTACTCCACGTTTCTCTCTCATTCCTCCCACAGTTAATCGTGACAGAAGAACCGACCAAAAACAGTAACCTCCGTTTGTCTACCCTCCGTTTTGTTTTCCGGTTTTCTCTCAGTGTTTTTGTTTCCGTGGTGTGCCCTAATGGATCCCCTCCTTCGCCCCAAATTCATCCTCCTCCTGCTGGAGCAGGGGGAACGCTCGCTCGGGGACCATACCAGATTGTTTCTGGCTCTCGCCGAACTTACCAGCTACCCAGACGACGCGCTCTGCGTGTTCTATGATGCCAGCCTGAACACCGCGTGCAGAGCGCCGTCGTCCGAAGATGGTCCTCGAGCAGAATTCGCCGCCTTCATGGAGTGGACTCTGGCGAGAAATGGATCTCCGTCCCCCGCCTGTTCCCAGGAGAATCTCGCCAATTCCACTCCCGACCCAGTGCGCAGCCCACCATCTCCCCGATGCGCGGAGCGCATGCCCGAGCCCACCGCTGACGGAGAGCCAGAGCCCGCCGCGACC